AATACAAAGCAGATTGCTGACTTCTGAACCCCCTTTCGTTTCTAACATTTTCCTAATTGCCACTGTGTACACAGCTACACAGCACCACAGCGTTTTCATTACAGCACTTTCACTTCCAAAGTTTATTGACCTTTCAGAAAGCGGAAAGTGCAAAAAGGAAAAGTTCGCTCTGCCGAAGTAGAGCACTGCTTTCTCCGAATTGTTCTTTAAGTTTCTGAAATCAAAAAAAAAATTCTAAAAAAATCATACAAAACGAAAAGAAAACTGTTTAGTGTTCCTTGAGCATTAGAGTTGAGCTAAACATACATTTTTTTATTTATGGGCTCAATTAGAGGGGCATTGACACTGACATAGTTCCGCTGTCGGATGTCGCACATCGCTGCTTCAATTCCGACATGAGTTTTGCTCAATAATGGTTTTATTATATTTTTTTTTGGTATGTGTGTGGATTTTATTGAGTTTTTACTCATCGCCCTTTCCACTAGAATTTACATTGAATTGGGTGAGTTAGAGTACGTGTAACTTTAAATTGTGCGTGTCAGTGTTGATAGCTTTTTTCCCTCGCACCCGCATCGACTTTCACATTTGACTCGTAGTGCCTTGTATAACTATGCGAACATGTACTGTCGGAAACAGCACATCAAATTCCTTTGAATTTGTATTGGTACACAGGGATGGTTAGATTCGTTTTCCACCCTCAATATTACCGCACCCCAATTCTACTCTGAAAATGACTACAAACTTCTTACTAATATTTCAACCAAATTGTTTTCTGGAAAAATTTTTCTACTTCATAGCAAGAATTTTCTAATTGAACTTCTATAAGAAAGTAAGGAACCTTCATTACTAACATTATTAAAGTAATTCTTTTGATCAAATTCATGCTTTAAAGATCGAAATAAAAAAATTATAACAATGAATACATTTTCGTTTTTAATGTGTAGAACAATTAGAAAAAGATTTTAGTGTATTTTTACATTATTTCTCCCAGTGGAGCATAGGGCTTCCAACATCCTCTTATATCGAACTCTATTGCGTGTTTATCGGTCTTGTTACAAGAATAAGTTGCTGCTTGCAATTCCTTCGCCATGTTCTAGCAGGCGGCCCAACTTCCCTGGAGACTCCATCTGAGTGCTTGGCAATCAGTCTTGTAAGGGGATCTGTGAAGTGCATGACCGATCCAATGCCATTTGCGCATGTATACTTCTGCAGAGGTTGGCATTTGGTTAGTAACACCCCAAAGATCAGCATTGCTGATACGATCACGCTACCAGATATTGAAAAACTGACGCACATCATATAAAGATCAAAAATAATAAAAAAAGTGTTATTATAAATCAATTATAAAACTAATTTTAACTAGTAGAGCTATTGATGCTTAAATATCCTCCTATAGGTCTACCATACTACCTATAATTATATTTATATTCTCATAAATATAAATTCTCATGCACGACATATCATTTAATCAAATTAATAGAGTCTGCCTAGCCTCATACCTCTCAGATGTATCTCATGAAAAGTGATGACTTAATGGATAAGAACTATTTAACATTTGCAAAACAAATAAATACAAATAAATAATAATATATGCGTCCAACGTCTTAAAAGCTTACATATGTAAGATTCACAAAAGTAAGTTTAATTCGACTGAACATGTAAAGTATATCAGATATTAACAATATCATTTATTGGAATAATGTTGTCGATATTGGAATAATGTTGTCGAATCTGACAAATGCTAATCTGACTAACCAAAGGTGCAATTAAAATAAGTACCAGTGCACATATCGCAGGTACTATGACTTATCGAAGTTTTTTAGATTATAACCACAAATTTGAACGATTATAATAGTAAAATTTTTAATAATATTGTCCTAAGATTATTCTATTCAAGAAACTACGTAAGTACAATAAATTATCCGGCTTTCGAATAAATATATCATAGATCCACCACATTAACAACTCACAGGGCTTATGAATAAACAACGTAGCGAATTCATCATTTAAGAATTTCCTGAAAACTTTGGATTTCATCGATTGAAATGTCATTTGTGCATATCTATGGAAAATATACAGGGCTAGGTGATCGAAGTATTACCTATTCAAACGGCCATATCTTTTTTGTGGGAAATTTTTTTTTATTGATTCAAATCACAAAAATCTGTGGAAATATTCAAAATTTCAGACTCACTCTAAACTAAATTTCATGCTTCACGAATGACATCATTCCTGAACAAGTGAATTTTTCAGCGCATCTATACTATCATATTTTTTAGTCCTCACATTACTCTTCAAAATAGGACAGATGGAATAGTCCATCGGATTAGCATCTGGCGAATTTCGTTCATACGAAATGAAGTAGGGAACATGATTTTTTTAATCATTCTTGATTCACACAAGCATTATAAGACAGTATCGAGTCTTGTTGGACGCCTTTAAAACAACTTCCAAAACTTTTTCCCAATAATAAATCGCATTGATTTTGACACCAGGCTCGATGAAAACGACTGAAGAACGTCTATCGGTGGTCTCAGCTGCCCATACCATTACATGATATGGAAAATTACTTCGAGTAGCTACTGTAGTCTCAAATTTTCGGGAGTGAGTTCAGTTCAGTAAATATGATCATTTTAATTTTAAAAGTTTATGAACTGCACAATGGAGAAATTGTTCTCATCAAAGAACACAATGTTTGGAAATTCGCCCCGTGTAACAATTCTTGCAGGCATAACAACTCCACTGCTCTTCCGAGGCTAATTTCTCGTTGCTTTGGTGTAAGACTGTGCCCTTTGGAACTTGTAAGACTTTACATTGAGCTCATTTTAGAATGTGTGTCGGATGCTTCGCTGGAATATTCACAATTTCGGGCCAATTGTGTATCGGAATATTTATAGATGTAGGGTAAGTATTATACAATTCAGAATAAAATATACTTCCAACTAGCCTAGTAGCAGTAATAAGATATATTAAGAATTGGTACATTCATGTAAAATACCTCAGCAGTTCTTCATACGAAAACTAAAAGGTAGTAAACCGAATACATTACATTACATTTAATTTGAGTTCCCGAGAGTAAAGATGTCATTTGCTGATGATACTCTTATACTTTATGGACATAAAAATAAATACTAAACAAAATCCAAATACTAAAATAATCCACACCAGGTCCCATGCGGTCCGCGGTTATTGTTTGTGCGGCCCGCAACATTTTCTTTTGGAGTACTAGTAGAAAAACATTATTTTATTTTTATGGTATACCAAATAAATGAATTTTATTTTATCGAAAACTACGAACGTATGAATTTTTTCTGCTGGCCCGCGATCGCATCTGGTTTGGACAGCCTTGATGTGACCCGACAAAAAAAATGTCAATAGTGATAATTTGCATGATCTTAATGATCAATTGTCATTACTGAAACGTAAAATTAAACATCCGGAAAATTTCTCAGTTTACAAAGCCAAACTAGAACTTGTTGTGTGGCTGATAATACTAACCTCTCAAAACCATATATCTTCCACAGCAATAATTTCAATTTCACGCAAGAAATAATTGATATTCATGTAACTGCAGTGATCAGAACTGACAATGCCACATCACACAGTGACTTATTATGGGAACAATCGTTTTTCGATATTAAAGAAATAAAACCCTATAAATTAGGAAATATATCAATCCTGTGGAAAGTACATTGATGCCTACAAGAATTTTCCGCATGGCTTTGTTCTATTTACTTCTATAATATGTTTGCCCATGTGTGTTGGGGTTATGTTGTTTGTTTGTTGTTATGTTCATGTTGTTAATAGATCAACGGTCGTATTCACTATTCATTACAGAACAAAACACTAAAAGAGGAGATATGTTCATACTGTTCACTACATTTTCAGCTACTGTTGAATTGCAGCAAAGTAATTAAAAACAGTTAGAGGGGCGATCTAATATAGTTCCATTTATCATTAAAACAGTACTACACTATGCTCACCAACAATAACAGCCGAAAAACTACAGACATTGAATTTTAACCGATGGTCTAATACTTTATATTTATATACTTTGTATTTATATTTATTCTATATAGATATTTGGCAACGATTTTTAAATTAGAAATAAAAGTATATATAATTAACGATTAAATCTGACAAAGACAAATTTACGATGGACATATTATTTTTAACAACACAATTAGCAAGCCAACTGTAGTTATTCAGTGGTTCCCAAAATGGCCGGGTCTACGTCTCGGAGCCACTCGTCGACCAAATGCTATTAAGCTTCCACCAAAGGGGACACACAATCAGGTATGTGTTTTTTTGATATTTGTCGTATACCTAGGCGCGCTACAAAAACCAGTTATTCATCAATTCAGTGTTTCTAAAAATCTTGAACTAAAAATTTCAATAATTTATCTCAAAAACTAAGGAAACATATCCAGATAAGAAAAATTCGTCTCAGCGTGCTGATCATGATCATGAATACTTTTTAGTACATTTTTACTATGGTACAAACCACTTGACAAACAAAATATATATATATATATATATACCTTGTGATCAAAAAAGAACGAGAATTTTAATTTTTTGAATTCCTGTGCTTATCAAATCGGTAATTTTTTTTATTTTCACGCTGGCAACACTATTATACACATTCTGTCAAAGTTTAACACATATCGTACTTGAGCATTGAAAGTTTTTCCAACCTTCGCTACTTGCGGAATAACACGATTAGTCATCGCTTCTAATTTGACAGGCACGAGTTCTAAGCCCGGTACTTGCAGTCTAAACAAATTATATACGGACTATAAACTAATTAAGAAATTCGAATACTTCCTAAGACCACTGATGATGAGTACTTGGCAATACTCGAAACAGCGATGTACTAAATTTGAACTTAATTTTTGTTCTTGTCTTTTCTTTGCTATTCGAATCCGTCTCACTTTTAAATCATTTCTTTTCGTCATAAATATACGTCACTCGTGGCAAGAAAAAATTAACACATTAAATAATTAATAATTATAAATTAACTGTTACCCATGACAAAATAGTCATACATTTATTAATTTACATTTTTCAGCGCAATGATTTAATTCTTAATAACGATTTGTGATATTTAAACATAAAATTTTCTGAAATCAAAATTAACTAAGAAAAACAATTAGAAAATATCATAAATACCTCTTATACTTAATCGTATATCTATAATTCTATTATAAAAGAAATTATTCAAATCTACCACGCATCTTAACTTGAAAGAAAACAACTATTAAATAATATAATTTTAAAAATACAAAGAGCAGGATACTCCAACAAATAGGGTCCCCTCAATTTTGTAAGATCGTTTGTGATCGTTAAATGACTTCTATCAAAACTGGTCATCAAGTGTTTTTTGATTGTTTCTTCAGCATGTGTTTTTATAGAGTATAAAAATGTGATGTTATTAGTAAAAGTTTATTGTGATGCTGCTGGCTGCGGTTGTGGGGCCAGACGATTGACGACTGCAATCAGTGCACGCAATATTTTTGCAATAAATTGTGGTGATTTGTAGGCCAGAGCTTCAGTAGTCATTCGTAATTCAGTAAATGCATTCCGTGTGTAAGGATTGCGGCGTGAACTGTAGCGCATAACCAAAAAGTGGTAGTAGACAAGAGGTGTAATAAGACCAGCTTTTCCCCTGTAAGATTGAAAGGTTCTTATTAGTTCAATAAAATAAAATATTTCCTTATTTTAATAAATAGTCATATATATACTTGTGCATAATATATTTGTCTATAAATAAAAATAAATATTAATATAAGTTTAATTATCAATTATCTCTGTGGAGACATCTACCAATTGTAAAGGAAGCTTTAAAAAAAAGTTTTAAAAAATATCATTTCGTAATTTTTGGGCATTTTTTTTAAGTATAAATAAAAAAAAAGGAATATCATGTTTTATAGAAGGGTAAAAATTAATTAATTATTAGAGTTAGGTATATGGGTTACTGCCCGCAAATGTGCGTTGCTCGGATGTTGAACTGATTTCTAGGTCTTATATTTTCAAATAACAACAATATCACTCTGAAAGAAATTGCTATGGTTTATAGAAGCCCCCCCGCCTCTAAATCGCTCAATCGCCCCCAACCACTACACATTCACTTCCCTACCCATGTTATCGTCTTGTGTATCCTTAGAGGTCCCAGCGGGTTACAACAACAACATAGGAGCTACTATACCCACAGCTTAGTTGGCACGTTTAATTTTCTTTTAGTTTATAAAATTTACGCTCTACATATCTACGGGTTAGGGATGACTAGCGCATCCGAATTGAGCATCTAGCGTTTTCGCTGTATATTTATATTATTAAGATGAATGACAATGCACTTCCAAAGGTGTTTAAAGTAGCAGTGTCTTCGGTAGAGTGACCAAATTCAGAGTGGACTAATTGTATTCGGTATACGAAACTCAAAAAGGCGCTAAAGCAGTCTTGGTCAAGTCTCTGATTTTGCAGGTCTCTGTCAGCTCTGTCATGTCGGCAAAAAAAGGGGACTTAAAGATTTTGATTCTTCTCCTAGTCAAAAGACAGACGTTAGAAGTAAAAAAATTAATAACAAGAAAATAAATTTCTAAAATATTTGTCACTTATCATTCATAAAACTGTTGAAAAGCGAAAGGAAATCAAAAATAGAATGCGAGATTAGAGAGAGCTGGATAAAACTCTATATAAGGAAGCTTTGGCACATAGATAAGGTGAAATGTCTCATAGAAAAGTAAAATAACCGTTTTGTTTTGCCTTCATTCAAAGAAAATCGAAGTTAAATATTATTTCATATGTTTTGACATGAACGTTTGTCCACTGGAACCTACTTGTGAAGCCCTTTTGGGAGATGTCGAACGGCACTTGGTCATCGGCTGGCGATGAGTGGCTCCGGGACGTACACCCGGCCGTTCATTAAGAACCTTCAATATTTGTTTGTTGTTATATGTGTAATGTCGGCTACTGGACTGGTTACCTAAACTTATATTCAATTTCAATTTATTTACCATTTTCGGTATTTGGTGTGGCCCCGTAGGATAACTAATGTTTGTTTATGGCAAATATCTAAAGAAATCCCTATTGAAAAAGAAATAGTGCGCAGGAAATACCAATGGATTGGATATACCCTTCGGAAGGACGCAAACGAAATAGTGCATGTAACGCTACAATGGAACCCCCAAGGTGCAAGAAACAGAGAACGCTCCAAGATGACATGGCTTAGAAGCGTTAATAAGGAATTAAATAAAACATTTAATGACTTAAGACATATAGCTAGAAACCGAGATTTGTGGAAATCCTATGTAAATATACTAAATAAATAGACTAATTCTTAATTTACACCTAATTGATGTAATGCTAGAACACATCAATAATAATAATAATAATGCGTAGTAAACCTTGTATTCAAATGTATGCCTAAATGGGAAACAGTACCGTTTCAGCACAAAAGATCAACTTTGGTCATGGTGCTTCGCTCCGTTGGGAGCTGGTAATATGTTTATTTCTATCCTAACAGTACCTGCTTGATGTATCGATTATTATTTGAACTGATTATCAGGATAATACTTCTTTTTAGAGTGAAAGTAGCATGGCGACATTTTTGTTCATTAAGATAAATATGTAATTGGGCTAATCATTTTTTAATAGAAGGAAGCGAGTTTCAAGTTGCCTTAAAACTTCTGAAAGACTTTTGTGACGACACAAAGTCGAAGTAGTGTAAGGAGTATCTGAAATAAATAGAACGTATGAAAAGGTGTCGATTATGCTATTTCGGGAGCCGTTTATATAAAGGCTTACTCGGAGAGGTATATAATTTGTGATTTACACTAAAATACCTGTTGTAAAGATACGATTCTAGTACGTATCTACGACCACGTTTGTAGCTCATAAACTGTTAACTTTAAGACTTGACATGCAGCTTTGGCGATATTTTATTAATTTGCTTTCTTATAAGGCCATAATACTTGAAACTATTAACATAAAATTGATAGTCTCTGAGACTTTTGATAAATCAAATTTTTTTACGAAGCCACTACAGCTTCATTTTATAAAAAAAATTATGGAAATTAATTGAAATAATGTGACAACTTACATAAATGTTAGAACAGCGGCAAGAGGCATCAAGAAAATTTCAGAAAATGCAGCAGCTTTTAAGATGTTGACAGCTTGAAACTCCACTAATGATATAAGCAAGCGGGCACCCCACCATGAATTTTGTCCAATAATCTAAATACATTTATGTAAAATAAGAAAAAAAAATGTACAACGTAATTACAAAATAGATAAATAAATTTTAAAAGAAATTTATACTGACATCTAATAAATTTTGTAAAAAACTTGCTGCGTGCAGCACTGCAAAAAGCACAATTGGTATAAGGATAAGTAATGTTGGTTGAACATTAAAAAATATTAAAGAATACATGAGGTAGTGACAAGAATCTTCAACAAATAAGCGTCCCAAAAATTCACGCGAAAATGTAAATGTTGGTAACCGCTGATGAAGACGTAACGCGGATGTGGCTGCATTAGATAATAAAACTTTATTGAAAGCACTTTGTTGATTGCTACAAAAAATAAAAACAAGATATATCCATATTTCTATTAATTCAAATTAATTTATTAGCAATTACTAACCCAAATATTGGCAAAACGTAGGCCACTGTGAACAAAATGGTTAAGACGCGTGTTGCCCACATTGCTCCATTGATTTTGTTTGCTTTGAAATGTTGTATAAGTTTGGCAGGAATATTATCACTTCGTCGCGGTGGCGGCGTTGATGAGGAAGATGTAGGCTCCTGTGCATCGTCACTCATGTTGAAATGTTGGGATCTATAAGATAGAAAATAAACAGCACTAAATTAAACAAACTATTAACAAATGATATTAATTATGTACTCAAAGTAAGCATAGGCACAAAAAATGTTTATCTAATCTTTCAAACTTTAGACTTAAGCTATATAGATATTCCTAAGAGATTACAGAAGTAAATAAATTCAACATTTTTAAAATTTTTCGAAAATTTAATAATTTTCTGCAAATTTTGATTTTATAAAAACTGCAATAAATGCTTATAAAAATTAAAAATCACAATACACCAACAAAATATTTTTCAAATATTTGTTGGTAGAAAAGAAATATATTATATAAAAATAATATTTTCCATTTAAAAATTATGGGTTATAATTGATTTGCTGTTGAGCGTTATTCCCTAATAAAAATAATTATAGATTATATTATATATAAGGTATGTTCAGTATAAATTTATATTGTGCAAACTGTTGTTTTGATCGCTTTAGAGCTTATCGGTGCATACCTTATATTGACAAAAAGTTCCAGTCGTATACAGTCTACAACTTCTGAAACCGTTAATCGGTAGTTTATATTAAGTGATTTAATGCAATTTTAGTTAAAAAAAATCTCTTTCTTACTTCTGGAAACAGCAAAGACATTTATTATATATTTCTAAAATTATGAAGTGATAAACAATAATCCAGTCAAGGCATAAAGAGGGGTTTTGAAGATACCTCGCAGTTAATAGAGAGTAAAAGTGCTTAAGTGCACTGGCTCAAATAACTTCAACATAATAATAAAATTATGAACTATTATTGTCGACCTCTTTCCAAACCCACAATCAATATTTTGTATTAAAAGATTTGACAAAACAATCCCCAGAAAGATCTAGCAAAACAAAAGATTATCAAAATACTTAGCTTTGTACTAGAATTGAAAATGTGAAAATGGATACAAAATATGCTGGTCTTCCAACAACAACATAGTTTCGTTGTTGTTACCCAACGGGAAACACTTATAGCAAACCTGTTTCTTGACTCTCGGACGTAAACTCGACCGCTGTTGGGCCAACTTGATAACTGTTGAGAATACTGAGAATACTCCAAGAAAACCTGGAAAAAAGTACACATAATTAAGGTAGTAAGCTAAAAAAAATTCGAAGGCCGAACGTAGAATAGCTTGAAAATATTGAAAAAAATGGACAATGAGCCGCTATTTTTCATATGACATGTTTAAATGTTTAATAACTGATTTAGTTTTTGTTGTTGTACATAGGTGTTAAGAAATTCTGATAAAAAGGTTTTCAAAAAAATAGTGAACTACAACAACAAAATTTTTTTTATATTATTTTAATTAATAGAATTTTTGGCTGACTATACAGCTGTTTCAAGTATCTCCAAATACCCAACAGCAATGAGCTTGAAAATAATTCTTGTATTTAATTATTCCTAAGTAATTTTTTTGAGATTGCAAGTACTAGGAATCGAACTCGTGCTCTGCCAAATTTGAAGCTCAGAGTCAGCGTTCATTAGCCAACTTCAGTTGTCAAGCCGTACTTGAATTTTTATGTTCGCACATTTTTCTGGAGTTTTGTTTATTGGCTGTGACTGTGTTTTTTTAACAAATTCACTTACTGTGTTTACATTAGAACGGAATCATAAACCAGCTGTAAAATATCTGATAGATTTTTTTGTTTATTCTTTTTTGTTCACAACAACAACAACATAGTTGCATATATATTTTATGAAAAAAATAAATAAAGACCGTATAAAGTATAAATCTGTTTCAAATAACATTGAGAATGCATACTCATCATCGTACACATGAGACTGTTTCACTTCAAAAAAAGAAAAAACTTTCTCTTATCTGGCTGGCTTTACGTTTCATGCTAACATGGCCAATTTCATAGAAATTTTCTAAAATTTCCGCATCACAATTTTTTCTTATTCAGCCAACTGTATCAGCATACTCAGATCTGTATATATTATTGGAATATATATATAAATCAAAAATAAGTAAATACACATTAATTGTGTAAAACTGTCTAGATAAATTGAATAATTCCTGAAAAAGAAACGATAGCATTATTAATAATATCTATAAAAATGCAATTTATTTTTTTTCCCTTCAGATGTTTAATATCTTTTTACAGATATTATAGCATATAAATATAGAAATCAAGATATTGTCAAAAAAGTTCAGAGATTTTAAATCAAAAAACACAATTAAAGTATATTTTTAAAAATATAATTAAATATAAATTCTCACACATGTGAATAGCGAAAACTAAAGCAAATAAAAGAAATTAATCATATTTTTTGTAAATCACAGAGCGCTCATTAAAAACAAGATATAAATGTGAAAACGTTCCAATTAAACTCTTTTACAAAAAATGTGTTTCGAAATTATGTATACTTATGAATATTATATTACTTAGGTTTTTACTTATGGTTCTATAAAGTTTACGGCAAGTGTTTGTAAAACTGGAGCACGATGAAACGAAATAAAGAAGTTGTTAGTACGTATCTATTTTCTAACTAATGTCACACAATAAAGAAAAAAAAGACAGTTTTTACTCTGTTTGCACTACGCTCAAGTATTATTAGCCACGTCATCCAATCTACATATATGCTAAACCTTTATAAATAATTAATAATAATTTGTTATTATTTAATAATTATTGTTGATTAAGAGAATTCAGTTTTTAGTGAAAATGAAATTTTTGAAAAACGAAAGCGCTTTACACTGTCGTTATTAATCAAATGAATATTAAGAAAAAAAAGTAGTATTTATTAATTATCGATAATACTGAGCGATATTTTCTTAAAGTTATTTCTAGACTTTTCTAATAAAATCCTATCTGTGCTTATTAATCTTTCAAAAAATATTTATAGATTTTATTGTTTATATATATTTTTATATATAAATTAAACATTAAAAATTAAGGAATGGATTTAGACAAGAAGACTATGAAGAGCTTAGTATCTATAGCTTAGTCGTGCCTATATGTTATGCTTGCTGTGTATGAATCATGTTAAACCCTTTACTTTCGTAAAGTAAAATACAATCAAACCTCTCTATAACGATTTCATTGGTGCCTACAAAAAACTTCGTTATAGAGAGGTTCGCTATAGATAGGTTCAAATATATGCAAATCACTTTGTCATTAACAAAACTTCTTTATAGAGAGGAATTCGTTATAGGGAGGTTCGCTATAGTGAGGTTTGATTGTACTTTCTTAATGCTTACAGAGCACTAGAAAAAATAATGTCTAAAACACATTAAACCATTTTATATAAAGGCAATTGCAGAGATAGATTCCAGAACATGTAACGCATTATTATAAATCATATTATGAAGCATTATCATAAATCATTTTAAATACTGAAAGCACATTAGAACAAAATTATTCCATAGACCTAAGTTTACATGCAAATTTAAATAAAATTTTTTAAAAAGTTTAAACCAAACAATATGTGGACATGAAATAAGTTTAAGTATTTTAAGTATAAACATTTTTTTATACTAGAGGTGCATAGCATACGTCAAAATATACCATTAAAGACTATCACATTATTATTATTATTATTAAAGCTTTTGCTTAACAGCCGGTATTGCGGCCAGAAGAGTTCTATTGTACGCATTTTACTATTGATTACACAAAGAGAAGAACTCTTAATCTGTTCTGGTAGCAAAAATTGCATATGAAATAAGTTTCTTCTGTACTTTATTAAAGCTGGACAGTCACAAAGTATATGCCTAGTAGTTTCCTCATCTTCGAGGCATAATCTGCATTCCGAATTAGCAGATAATTGTAGTTTATGAAGGTGATATTTCAGGCCATAATGACCTGTAATGAAACCCGTTAGCAACCTTAAATTGTATTTTAAAAATATAACCATAACATTTTACTACTAAAGAAGAAGCAATACGAGTAGGAAACAGCAGTTCCGTCGACCATACATTTTAAAGTCAGGCCTCGAACTAAAACAAAACATTTAGTTTAGTGCATTCTATGTATTTGGAGGAAGGAAGGGGAATAAACAGTTCCAAGATGCAACATTTTGTTTAACAAACAGCCTAAAGTCTTTACACTTTCAGCTTAACTGTCTTGTATTATTGCTTGTCTAGACGATTAACGACACCAAAGGAAATATATGTTGCGCTAGTTATAGTTCAGACACGATTGATATTTTAGAGCCGTTTTCTTGTGTTCCTGGGAGACGACAGACATGAAACGGTTCGCATTTTTTATTTTATTTGTTCGCCATTAGTTGTTTTAATTATATATGGATTTTTATTAAAATTTCTTTTATAGTTAGAGGACTTAATTAATTACCAATTAATTACATTACCACAACTCACATAGATATGTAGATAGAATAGACTTAAAAGTGCAGCGCACACAAATTAAAAGTAATCAAGTTAATTGAAATTGCACACGCATTATAGGCAAAAAAACACACTTCTTGCACTTCCTGTCACACATATTTGTTCTATATTAAAAAGCACACAGCAAAAAGGTTAATTTAATACTCCTATCAGCAACGACTGAATAGATATTATATGAAATTGTAAAGTCAGTTATTTTACGATCATGGTGACGACATAATTTTTTTGGTATATAAATGCTTTAATTGTTGCTTAAGAAATGATAGTTATGTGCGATAAAAAACTGAATTTCACCATTGCTACATACTACTTCCATAAATGTCAAATGTAAATAATCACTGTGAACATTATTACTGCATATTTCAATATCCTAAAGCAGTTATATACATATATTCATAATAAATTGTGTATGTGTGCGGTGTATATAAGTTTTTTCCACTTTACTCAGCAAAACTATAAAACATATTAACTTAATAAAATCGCCGCAAAACATGTAGACACTCGCTGTAAGCAATTGCACATAAACTTTTTACATGACAAAGGGGTTCATCCCTTTGTCAATAAAACTATATTCACTTTAAGTTAATTGTAAAAATACGTGTACTTACTTTTAGTAATTTTACAGTTAATGATGCTACGCAAACAGCAAAGCTTTCAACACGTACCTATACACGAGACTAATGGCAATTGTAAATTGACAATACCTTTTTTTAACGTGAATAAGTGTTGCCGTTATGCACTTCACTACCTTTATAATTGAACAAATTCCTTCTTCAAATAGCGAAACGTCAAAGTCAAAGATTACTGAATTAAACTCTATTTCAGTCAATATGACAGTCAATAATATTCTTTGCACGAAATATTTTCATTCATAAATTCACAATATATAAGTTTAAAAAATATTGTGGTCACATCGAAATTTCTCGACGAATATCTTAAAGTATATCATCTAATCATAAATAAATAAATTAAATATAAATTAATTTATAATAATAAATAAATAAATAATCATAAATAAATAAATTAATTCATACATAAATATGCAATAAATATATTTACAAATGTTGTAGTAACAACAAAATTTCTCGAAGAATATTTAAAAATATATCATGTATTTCTCGAAGAATATCTTAAAGTATATCATGTACTCATAAATAAATAAATTAAATATAAATGAATAAATAATAATAAATAAATAAATAACCATAAATAAATTCATACAAAAATTCATAATGGCGTATGCGGACAAACTAGCCAGAAAAGGAGCAGCCACACCGATGATGGGGCCGGAACTTTTTTGTGAACTAGAAATAGTACGCTTCTTTCTCTCCTAAAAATAAAGGAGAACCAGAAAAAAAGGATTACTAGGATAATATACCAGGATTAAAACAATCCAAATCACTTATTGGTACCTATAACAACAAGAAACTTAGAATCATTACAGGAATCCTAACAGGGCACTGTAGAATAACACACCAAACTGGGTATACAAAACAGGGTATACTTACGGATGCAAACTGTAGATTCTGTGAAGAGAATGAGGAGTCGGCCACACATGTGCTGTTAGAATGCTCTGCTCTAATGCACATACGAAATAGGGTCCTAGGAATGTATATTCTTACGGAAGAGGCAATAAAACTCTGTAAAGTAGGTTCTATACTACTTTTCATTGACGCAACAGGGCTTAAAGACCTACTCTAAGCCCAGAAGGGCGCACAATAGACCCAACGGTTGCAGTGCCACATCCCCCTAACAATAATAATAATACATAAATTCACAATAATTAATTTCACACATGTTGTAGTCACATCGAAATTTCTCGAAAAATATCTCAAAATATATCATGTATTCTTTTCTAATCTATGTTCCGACAGCCAAATTTCCTTAATTTTGTAAAAGTGAAATTAAGTTAATTTCGATAGTGTTCATACTGCCAAATTAAGGTAATCATATATTTTTTGTTTACAAATCGAATGTTAAAAATTACATAGTTTAAAAACCATTTGTATCTGGGAAATTTTAAAAGTTGATTATTATATGGCATTCAGTAGTTTTATTAGCTTTACTGGATTTCAGGTATGTGGATTATTATTTTTCACTCTATTTTAAATTAAAAAAACTTTGTTTTTTCTCTGTGTTCAAATTTAAAAATTTGCATTACTTTCATAATATTTTACCGTTTTTTATTAAAGTCAACTGTCATTTCACTTTTTCGTTATCTCAACTTTATCTTTTGCTTAAAATTATCTTACTCTTAGTTGCATTTGAAATGTCCCTTAATTTCAACCTTCGTTTCAACGAAATTAAGGCCATTTTTCTTAATTTCGTTCTAATCTTAAAACTGAATTTTGTATACCTATACCAGTAAACATATGAGAAGTAAAAAAAATTCACACAAATTTGCGGTTGAATTTTATAGAAAAGTTTTTTATATAAATATACATATAGGCAATACAAGATCGTGATTAAATTCGTTTGTATAATTTTCAAACTTCTAACTAGTTAATGCTAAATTAGCAGTATTTCATATTAGGCGTAGTTTGTTCTTTCAGAGTTGTAAAAAACAGCATTAAGTGTAGTTGAAACAAATTGGCATCACTTTTAAAATATGTTAAATACTTTTTTGGTACATGTTTGTAATGTGTTGTGTACAATAGGCCTTTTATTTTTTAAGCAAGTCACAAAAAAAATCATAAAATACTACCTTCGATGGCAACACTGGACAATATGGATTTATATGCAAAACAAGTAATAAAACTTAATGTTGAAATTTCGATCATGAATAATAATTCTTTGCAAATATCGATGAGAGTATTTTTTTTTGCATGATTCTAAAGAAAATATAATTGTTTGACCCTTTTAACAATAAAATAATAGAAACAAAAAATATCGTATTTGTTACGAACAATGACAACACGAAATTAACGAAATCATTTGTTGACAGTTAACTGGAAATTTCGTATGTACTCCGAATTTTTACTGTTGGCAACCATGCGATTTGAACAGTTTATGAGTTAATCAATTTCAAAAATGTTGGACTAAATAAGCAAGCAACAACACGGCTTTCAAATGTTATTTTTGATATAAGCAGTTGTTCATTTGTGATATACTTACAAAAGTAAAGGCCTAATGCTGTTTCTTTTAAGATCATAAAAAAATCTACGATATTAAGACATTTTACAAAGTTGCACAGAAAAATAATCACCATTTCTAAAAAGATTAAAAATTAATCTCGACCAAAACGAGATCCACTTTTGTATGTGAAATCTGTGATTAAACACTTAGATTCATTTTAATTTATTTACAAAACGCAAACTGAAAGCAAACTGGTTTTTAATTTCATATCGTTAAATAAATTGGAAAACAATTGTACTAATAAATATATGTATGTGTAATATTTAAAATAGTTTAAATTATTAGAAGTATTTACAACAGCGTTGCAACGCAATTGTTTATTAACATGTGACGTTAAATTTTATACCACTATGACTAACTATTTACTATATACCATATACAACTATATAAGGTGTATTCTTTTGACATCTATACGGCTTCCTAAATCTATTTTATAAGTAATATTTGCAATAACAAGTCAACAATAAATCGCAAAATAACACTGTGAAGTCATAACATCACGACGGTCCTAATTTGGGACGCCATTAAGATAATTATATAAATAATCCAAATGATTAACATTTCACTTATACCCATTCTATATCATCTATGTGCACGCAACTAATTGGACTTTTGACGCCTATTTACTTCAAAAATTTTATTACAAAAAAACTGGCAACACTGCATAAACAAAAATCAGCTGTTTTTGTTTTGATTTGTGCTCACGTTGTTCAGCGGGCACCGGTCGAAATACGTGAATAAAATAAAATTTATTAAGAATGGTGCAATTGTTTAAATTTCTACTGAAATCTACTAAAAAAGTAACTATAAGTAATAATATAATAAGTGTAACACTAATGCAATAAATGAAATTTACAGCCAATACGTGCACATTTACGCGGAAGTTTTATTGATAGCTTACGTTTAAACGTACATGCTGGTCACGGTGGAAATGGCTTACCACAATATGGAGGCATTGGAGGACAAGGTGGATGTATTTATTTTGTGGCAAAAGAAAATACAACAATGCGAAAGGTAGCACAAACATTTAAAGAGAAACGCATTACAGCTTCAAGTGGTGAGGATAGCAGCAAACTACGACTGCTTGGTAGGCGAGGCCATGATGAACGTATTGAAGTTCCAATTGGTGTACAAGTTATTGATGAGAATGGAAAAATCATTGGAGAATTGAATGAAGAAAATGCAACATGCATTGCAGCAGGTGGTGGTATGGGAGGCTGTGTTGGTACAAACTTTTTGGGAAAGCCAGGTGAAAATCGAATGATAAATTTAGATTTAAAGCTTATAGCAGATGTTGGGCTTGTTGGTTTTCCCAATGCTGGTAAAAGTACACTTCTAAAAGCAATCTCAAATGCTAAGCCAAAAATTGCATCATATCCATGTAAGTTTATTGATTAAATTTTTTTTTATGTACGTTTACGATAACTTTGTTGTGGTTTTTAGTCACAACTATACGTCCACAAATTGGTACGATTGGATATTCAGATTTGCGCACTATAACAATAGCAGATTTACCAGGCTTGATTGAAGGAGCACATGCAAATTACGGCATGGGACATAAATTTCTTAAACATATTGAACGTACACGTCTGCTTTTGTTAATAGTTGACGTCTTTGGTTTTAGATTGAGTCCAAAGCACGCACAACGCAATTGTTTGGAGAATATCTATGCGCTTAATAAGGAATTGGAATTATATGATGAAAGTCTATTGGAGAAGCCTTGCGTATTGTTGCTAAATAAATTGGATTTAGACGGTGCAGAAGGGATTGTAAAGAAATATAAACCATTTATAAAAAATTTAGAGATAGGACTTGAACAATGTCCTGAAAGTATAAGACCGACGAAATTAATAAAATTCGAAGAAATTATGACTATTTCAGCGAAAAATTCTGCACGAGTGAATAAGGTGAAAGATGAATTGAGGAATGTCTTGGATAGGTTAGCTGAAAGTGAAAGCGTGCCAGATGAAGAGGAATTGCGCTTAAGTTTACAACGAAGAGTGGCGGAGCGAGGCCCAAAAGTAACATAAACTTTACTGTTTAGTATATATGTAGTCTTAAAGCAAAAAGTGTGTCATTTTTAGAAAGTTATTTGATTGTAATATATATTAAAATTTAAAGATTTGATTTAATTTAAAAACAAAATCTTTAATATGTGAATTCATGGCATTATAATACGTTGATGGCGTCTTTGCTTCAAGTTTCTTTCGTTACAGAAAAGGTAACTAATAATGACGTTAGCAAAAAGGCAAATGAACACGTATCTGCTTGAGTAATCCCTTTTGACGGTGCAGAACGACACTTGGTCGTCGAAATCAACGAGTGGCTCTAGGACGTAGACATTCCACACAGATGCAGTATCCTCGTTGAGACCACAGTTGCATTGCAACAAAGTTTTTAAGTTCCTGCCTAATATCTCCCAAGAAGAACAGCGCCTTCCACGAGCAGTAAATGCCTCAATATCCAATAGTTGCGCTTACTGCAGCTCTTCTCCCAATGATGTCACACATCTAATTTCTACCCCACAGAAGTGGCTGAGTTTCTCTGTCTTAATCTTGATTGACTTCAATAGTCCCACACTTCCCTCAATTCTTTTTTACTCCTAAATAATGCTCTTCTTTCTCACAGTATTATTATCTGTCCACATACTAATGCATGCATCTACTTAATATATGCTTGCGGGCTACAATAACATCTCAAGAAGTAATGATACATTTAAGCCTTAAACTTTTACATTTATTAACCCATATTCACATGTTTTAATTATGGATGATGCAGATTTGATACGGTGTAAACGTTTGCTTAGAAGCGCTGGGATTTTTTTGTGGGTGTGGGTAGAAAGTATCAAAAGTTAGGAATGCAAAATGGACAATCTTCTGCCATTGGACAGTAAAGGTCAAAAGTTGCAAACCAAATCCAGTAATTAAAGGAATGGCAAATATTAGAACAGAAAGCTTCGTATTTAGACAAATATATCTAAGCTAAAATTGAAAACAAGTGAGGGGAAGAAAGGAGGATGTTCTTGCACATAATTACTGACCAAAAGTAAACTCTGTGCAAGGAGCTGCTGCAAACACGATTGTAGATCAGTATTAAAGGCTCAAGTATAGGGGAGGCTTGTACCTCATATTATTAAGCAGGTCGGTTGAAAATCAAGCTGAGTAAATAATAACAATAGAAAAATTAAGGTGCCTGCTAGATATCTTCACGCTAGGAATAATAATAAATAGTCATCTAATCGCCCGATATTGGAAAACTTGTACATAGTAGAGTCAATAAAATGTCTGCCATCAGGCCATTGATGCAGTTTCGAAGCATTCTCCTTTCAAACGCTAGTAGGGGTTCCATTTGAGCTGATGAGAATCCGGACCAAATGGGAAATGAGTATGCAAAGAGTGGCTGTATAATTTGTTTGTAATAAAGCAGTTTCGTTTGCACGCTTAGTAGATTCTGTCGGCGCCGACTATTTTTAAGCTTAAGGAGTAGAAGAATTGTATACTTGTTGACTAACGTGAGGAATGAAATTGTATTTAGGAGTAGCTGTACTTTTACGTTTGAAATTAAGTTCATTTCATTTTGTGTAGTAGGATATTCTCATTTCTAAACTCTAAATTTTGTTTAAACATTATCCCTTCTTTAAACCATATAACCCACGAATAACAGTGTGTATTTACAGTGTGTATGTAGTATAATTTTACAGACTATTATTAAATAATTGTTTAATAAAAAATTATAAATGCTTTTTTTTGCTCTAGTTATGAATGCTGGTTGTTATGACAATGATTTAATTTACTTTTAATGCACTACCGGTTATGTTTCTGCTTACACCCTGTCGATGACCGGTTTATGTAAGGCGTATTTGTTTATTTGAATCACTAAGTCCCAACAGTGCAATTAGGTGTTTGGCGAACTTAACATTGTTGGTTAACATTTAAAGCAGAAACTTGTTTGTTAAAAGGCTAGCAAACAAAACACATACAAAGTAACTCATATACTATAAAGAATGGTACTTTTATTCACGTTAATATGTGTAAAGGCTATAAAATATATTATTGGTATATAGTATATTTATATTAAAAAGCAATTATTTGGAACTATGCATATAAAATATATAATAAATTAATATACTAATTGCCGTATAATTAGAAAGTTTAAACAATTGTCTGTCCAATTCCGTGGCTGGACAGTAACGTATAAATTTAATTGATACTATTAAATACTAACAAAATTTTATAAATAAAAGTACTATTAATATCGATAAGAATTTATAGATTTAAACTATAAATGGAATCTTTATTAGCTATTTTTGCGAAATTAAAATTTAGTGTTTACACTACGACAATTAAATGTGGATTAGCGAAACAAAAGAAAATTTAAAGAAAATAGCAAATATTAAAAAAATTATTTAATTAATCTTATATAATAATCTGTATATAATATAAAAGTAAACATTTTTTGAATATTTTTTGTTTGTAATTTATTTTTCAGTGGAAATTGCCGTCATATATTCTTTTTATTTTTGTCAACACTATCATGTATAGTTGTCACATTTAAATGTATCAAAACAGCATTTAATGAATGTATTATTTCGACATGAATGCTCCAATAGAACAATTTCTGGTTGCCTAATAATAACTTGGCATCACTGCCTAAATCAGTGAATCTATGACAAGTAAACAAATTTTGAACAAATTTGAGGCTGATAAATATATGTAATCACAAATATATCTGCAGATAATTTTTTAAAAAAATTTTTTATAAATTTTCAAACTAACATTACTAGTTAATACTAAATGAGCAGTATTCAACACTTTTTTTGTTTTCTTGCAATTGTCTTACAACTTTTTGCTTTTATTTGAATGATTGTGTTTTGCATTTATTCATGTATTGCATTTTTTTATGAACACAGAAATTAAAAATTTTTTAATAAATAATTAACTTCTTTACTATTACTAACCTGTTATTCATTTTCACAAATTTTATTTAAAAAATCATTACTTTATTTAAATTTACTTTTTAACACTCGTGACAGTTGTAAACAATAAACGAACTCCTCCGTTATCTGACTGGAAGTTTCCATTTTCTTTCAAATATCATTTACAATAGATCAGCTTTAAGATTTGGCATTATTGTAGAGCGATATGCATATTCGTCAAGCACTGTCAGGAAAGTGGGTTTATTTATTTTTAATTTTGTTTTAACAATGTACTAAATTTATAGGAGTTCATGAAGAAAGTATAATTGAAGAGCGCTTTACATTTTTTTACCTTATTAGTTGCTAAAGCGTAATATTTAGTCAAACATAAATAATCTACACTATTATTAATTTCGTTGTAAAAGAAAATTTTAAAATTTCCTACAATCTTAACATTGCTTTTCATTGATTATTCATTTCAATGAGTTTTGCTCATTGCGAAAGCATAACATTTGACAGACTGCAACATTGGTGCCAATATTTCACTAAGCGATTATAGTAAACAACTTGTTATGTTTGCCACACGTCGGAGCTTCCGAATGAACCTTATATTTTTATAAATTTTATTAAATTAGTGCTAAGTTCAACGTACCGTAGGCAAAGTGAACAGAACAACAAAAAATTGTTAATTGCATTAGGCGATTTTTTTTTTCAAAGTTGAAAAAAACATCATTTAGTCTGGTTCAAACAAATTGGCATCACTTTCAAAATATGTTAAATGCTTATTTTTGACATATGTTTTTTATTGCGTTGTATACAATATAAATTATATATATTGCGAACACTAAAAATTAATTATATTGATTAAAAAAAAAAATAAATAAATACAACTCTGCATAATCCACCTGTAGGAATAGGCAACTGTCAAAATATAGGAAAATTAAAAGAGAAACAATTGGAGAGCAAATCAGAAAAAATTTTTACTTCCAAGATGCACTTGTTTCTGCAAGACTATTACGAAATCCAGAGAACGAAATTAGTCTTGTTTGAGAAATTACTTGTGCAGTTGGTTAGGTGCGTGAGTTAAATTTATGGTTCAAGTGATTAATATAATAACAAAATATAAACAAAACATTTGCAAAAATTTAAAATTAAATAATTTTTCAATGATTGAATTTTTAAAATAAAAAGTAAAAACATTTTTACAAATCACTCCGTTGGCAGTTTCTAACATTTTGTGGGAGACGCCGCGGAGGTGTTAACCGAAATGTCGCACCACAATAATAACAACAGGCATGCACAGTGGCACACACATGTTGCAAACGCAAATCAAAGCACCGCAAATTTGTTTACTGGTGGACATATGGTTGGAAATATGGTCGAGCCTAGTGGCTATGTAGGCGGTGGTAATTTCGGCAACAACAGCGCCGTTCCAACCTATGACAACAGCAGTGGTGTTGGTTACGGACAACAACCCATTGAAAATTACCACCTGCAAATGCAACATGGTTACAATAACTACAATAATTGCTATAACTATGTTATGCCACAGGCACCTCCGAATCCAGTAACCCAAACCAATGTAACTTCAACTCAAAATTACTATCCAAATTATACACATCAATTGAACCAGGCTATTAATCCACCTACTATTCCAACTGTTCCACATCATACTACGTCTATTTTGAATAACATACAAACACATTCAATGCCAGCCAGTGATTTGAATATGCAAAGTAAGTCCTATGAATACATAAAATATTGAAAATTCCCTACGAATTATTATACATATATATCATCTTAAACTATACATATACATATGCAAATACATATATTATATTAATAAAACTGTAGTAATAACTGTCTTATAAAATGATTTCCACTTTGATTTAATCAAAAGTAGAGTAGAGTATCGAGTATAGAGTATAGAGTATACCTCAACCAAAATGACTTGAAAACAGAAAAATCTCAAACTACTCGTACTTCATACTTCATACTTCATACTTCATATTATATTGTATATTGTACATTGTATATTGTATATATGGCAGCCACAATTGTGTGTACACACGAAAGTATGTAGGTGTATGCGTAGCATGTCAGTGCGGCTGTTATGCGTATTGATGTTCCTGCTCCCAAAACAGGCAGAGACGAAGAAGTTCTCCAATTTTGTATCTGTACCTGAAACAAGTTGTATAGTAGAGTTGCAAATAACCAA